AATGCTTCACACTGAAATATGCAAAATTAACTTCTAAAATTTAAATAATTCATGATAAATCACTATAACTTACCAGTAATTGTTTCCCTTCAGCATCTTGAATTATGCTATCTAAAGTATGATGGATAAAAACTCCATCATTGAGTTCTGCCAGAAATCCATTTAAATTACATATATATTGATAGATACTTTCGAATGCAAAATAAAATCTGGTAATAACTTTCATGTTATTTTCTCTAAATTCTTCATCAATGTCTTGTAAATCCTATATAAATATTCAAATATAATAATATTTATGTACATATCTTATAAAATATGGGTACAAATTAAACTTGGCATAATCTTACAGTATTCTTTTCAATTTTTGTTTCATGTGCCTCGGGGCATTTGAAATATGTAAAATCAAAAATAATATCTGCATATTTGACTTGGTCAGCTTTACAATCGAGTCTGAAACCATTAAAACATGTTTTATACTATTTTCTTTTTTTGCAATTTTATAATTAGTAGTTTACCTAAAACTGATGGTACGTAGTCTTTTAATCGTAGAAGTTCAGCAATAATTGCATTTCCACATGAAACTAGATTTAATATTTGCTGACCACAAGGGTTATTCTCTGCTAAAAATTCGGGCATTATGAGGAATGTATTAGTCAAAAAACTTCGGTCCTAATGATTATAATTATTTATAGTGACGACAACTATGTTTTAGCAACACAATATTGTTGAATTATTTTTTTCGTACATTTTAAAGACGTGCTATATTAAGATGAGCAATGCAATTTAATATAAATATTATTATCTATATCCAAAAATCAAAATTCAATTGTGTTTATCATTATTATTATATTGTCTAGGGAGTTGATCGTGTTTATTTATCAAACTGTCATTTTTGACATTTGAGGTTAACTTCAGTTCATAAACTTCGTATTGCTAATTTCGCAGCCTTTGCACTTTGATTTTTAACTGATAGTATCAATAATAAATTTTTTAAATAATAGTGTCATTCATAAGTAATTATATTTTATTTCTATAATATCAAAAATTAGTTTTGTAGTTTCATTTAATTAAATGATTATGGGACCATACAAAACTTTGAAAATAACAACTCAAAAAAGATTGTTAATAATCACTTTAAACCGACCAGAGAAGAAGAATGCTTTCAATAGAGAAATGTACCTTGAATTAACAAATGCCCTCAATGAAGCTGCTGAAAACAATAATATTTTAATAACAGCAATAACTGGTAGCGGAGACTTTTACAGCTCTGGTAATGATTTAAATAATTTTTTATGGAAGTACTTTCTGCTGACAATGTTGATGAACAAGCCAGAGAATCTTCTCACATGTTTGAGAATTTTATAAATGCATTTATTAATTTTCCCAAAATTTTAATCGCTGTTGTTAATGGTCCGTGCATTGGAGTGGCTGCTACAACAGCTGCTATTTGTGATGTCATATATGCATCGGAGACAGTAAGTAGAATCAATTTTATTATAATCTCTGCAGTATTTATTTAATTTTAATTTCAAGGCTTACTTTCATACACCATTTACGAGCATGGCTTTGAATCCAGAAGGTTGTTCTTCATATACTTTTCCAAGAATTCTGGGGAAAAGCAAGGTTTTTATAATTTATTAAAGGAAATGGGAAACTAGCTCCTATTTTTTTTAAATCAATTGCTTTTATGCCAATATTGAGATAAGATTAAATTGAAAATAGTTTTTAATGTAAAAATTTTATGCAATTTTCCCAATAATATAAAGTTAATCTATCAAACAACATATACAGATCTGTTTCTTTTAGGCCAATGAAATGTTGCTTCTAAATTACAAACTTACATCTGAAGAAGCTTATAAATTAGGATTTGTATCTGAATTATTCTCCAAGAATTCTTTATCCAACATTTGGTCCAAATTAGAGGACCTTTCTTTGTTGCCTCTGCAATCAGTAATTGAGTCTAAAAAGTTAATCAAAAGATTTGAACAAGAAAAATTGAGAATTGCTCATGAATTAGAAACTATGACACTAAATGAAAGAAAAGTTTCTGAAGAAGCAATTACAGCAGTTATGAATTTTATGAGCAGGAGGAAAAGCAAATTGTAAAGAGTAATATTATATATTTTTATAAATTTTATATTTTAAATTATATTATAAATATGCAAATTCTAATTCTATTTGTCATTATTTCTGATTCCACCAAGAAAGGAGGCCTAGACCAGGTTCACAAATAGTTGCCTGCAAAAAATAAAGAAATAATATAGACATACATAAATTAATGCTAATAACAAAATCATAATTACAGTTATTTTGTATGCGACTCTCAAAGCATCATCAGCATTAGTACTGGTAGAAGGTTGTCCAGTAGGTGGACCTATATCTGGAGAAGTCTCTTGAAAAATCTCAGATGTAACTCTAAATCTTATCTTTTCACCTAAATTTTTATAAATTATTTAAAGAAATTTTTTTGCAGGGAAATTTATTGCAATTTTTCATATTTTCAGTATATATAAGGCTTTAATTTTCTATAATAACAGTGGTGTTCAAAGAAAGAGCGTTGAAATAAAATTGTAGCCTATTAACATTACGATTATGGTGAATCTGATAAAAATTAAACTAGGGTAAGAATATTACATACCAATATCCATGTACAGATCATGTGTAGTTCCGTCTCCTAAATCATACTCCCATATCCAAGCCTGCTCAATTTCATCAAATCTAGACTTATGTTGCAAATCTTTCGGTTGTATTATTATATCATCAAAAAATCCTACAGTTACTAAAATGATTAGCTATTAGTGAGAATTCAATGATAGTTTACATCGATTGATAATTAAATTATTCACCTATTACACCATCACTACTGCAGCTCTTAATTTTTCCTATTATAAGCTCATCAATAAATGGACGAAATACTATATATCTAAATCTGACTTCGGTGTAAGAAGATCCATCTCCAGGTAATATGACGGAGTCTTTAATTTCAATAATGTCGTAAAGTGCTATACAAAGTCCAACATTTAACACAACCTGTTACGAATATAAGTAATTAGTACATGCTAACACTATATATGTTTTAAATATTTACTTTATTAGCTAATTTAGAATTTAATTCATCGATTATAGCATCTTTGAAAGGCAAATGGAATAAATCGGAAGTTATTCTGACAACGTCTTTGAATTCAGATAAAACAAACATTATACTCCAAAAATGCCAATAAAAGACTCCTATACTAATAACTAAATACAAGGTTTGTTATATAGAATATAAATAAATAGATTTTAGCCATTCACAGGCAGAATAATACATATTATTAGGTTAAAAATTAGTTAAATCATTTTGAGGTTATGTTTTTGCCTGTTGCGTACAAGACCAAAGGGCCACCAACATCATAATATTATAATTTGATATGTAACGGCATAAAAATTTATAAAATACAAACATGTTTATTTTAGTTATATAATCTAGCAATTAATTATACGGCGATTCTTAATTATAACTGGAAATTAAAAGCAAATATTTTAATTTATATTCTAATTTTATTTAGACATTAGTATTTTTATATTGTTGGTTTTTCTACATCCGCATTAAGTATGAAACTGTTTCTTTTTTGTTGGTTGTTGACGTTACCATGGTTATTCAAGTTGTTTTCTAAAATCACGATGTCACTTTATGTTATAAATTTAACAGTAATAATATTATTTAATGTTACCATAAAACATTCTAGTGAGCATTGGTTAAATAAAACGTGAAAAGTTTATCATGTTAGAAGAATAAAATGCAATATATATTTTTACTTTTTTTATTATTAATGAACATTATAAAGTGCAAAATTTAATTAAATTTTTAACTGTCAATGACATGAAATAGTCAAAAATATTTTGGTGCAATATTGTTTTTGTAAATACTTTTACTTCCATTGAAATATGAATCTATATCTCGATGATGATGTCCAACCAAAAGATGGTAAATTTTATAGAACTAGAAATTAAAAAAAATATACCCTTCTTTTTTCAAATCATACAATTTTTTCTATTAACATTTCAGGACATCAATCAAATAGTAGATTTGAACAATATGAACGCTTTAAATCCTGCTTGTATGAAGATGAACCAAATAGTTTTAAGACTACAAATTTACTTCAACAAGAATCCAAAACGTGGAAATCTAATTTTCCTTACTTAAGAATTGTAGGTGGGGCATATATTTTTACACTAGCAATATGATTACATATTACATCAATACAATTCTACGTTTAATTGATGAATTATAATTACTTATTCATTTGCTGTGCGATCAGGCGTATTTTACATATAAACAAACAAGGAAGAATGTTAAGATAACAGAATTCTAGATGGTGCAGTTATCATAACATTCATCCTTGCCTGTTTTAGCAAATAGATAGACTTTTACATAATTTTCACTACCAATAACAAGCATAAAATAGCGTTGCCATGGCAACGCTATTTTATGAGCTCTGTTACGGCAGAATTGCTCATTAATTGCTTATTGATGTAAATATTTTGAAATTTTCCTTTCTGAGTATAGCAAACAAATAAATTTAAATATTAATGTTGTTGTAATTAATTCAATAAATTGTAGGTAAAGGTATAAATCCACCACCAGAGTTTCAAGCATTTATAAATTCAGCAAAAAGCGCAAATGAAATTTTTGCTGATGAATATCGGGACGAGGAAGTATTTGCCGAACATCATGATGAAATAAAACTAGAGCAATTTAATTCTGCCGATAATTTGATTGATGCAATCGCGTACCATTCGACACTTCAAGGTATATTTAGATTTAGAAATAATTTTATAAAATTATTGATGATATTATTTAGCTATAGGACCAATTCTCTGCGGTAATATAGCGTTGTTATAGTAAGGTTTTCTTATCATATTTTCTTAGTACTAAAAACGGTGAAAATGCTATCCATTTGCAGTACGATCAGACGTTTTAGTTTTACACATAAAACCGTATGTTGTAAACGCACAACATAAAGATGCAGTTATGATAGCATGGTTTATATGTAAAATACGCCTGATCGCACATCAAATAGATTTTAATACCAAGAAGGTTAAGATAGCGTTGCCATAACAACGCTATGTTATCGGCTATGTTACCGCAGAATTGGTCTCATAGGGCTCAATTGGCACAATTAGTATAATTAATTATAAAAATATATCGATTTAGGTAATAAAGCACAAACTAATTTTTGGGATTCGGATGAAACAGAAATTAGCGCTGAATCGGATCATGAGACGGATGGTTTCGATTATGGTAAGATGGAACAATTTTTCAGAACGATATATAATTTATAAAAAAACAGTTTTCCACGGGCATATATCCAGTAACTGCAATCAAAACTTATATAAATTATGGTTTACATTTTTTAACATAATTTTTGTATTGTGTTCACTAAAGAAGAATCAAATTAACTCGGAATGAAGTCTATTAAGCTGGATAGATTGCTTGTTAATTTTTTTAATTATATATACATTTATATTAAAAAAAAATTACATACATTTACATTTTAGGTTTTATACCTTATTTTATTTATTTTATTATCACTTATATTTTTATTACATTATTATTTAACTATTTTATGTATTTGGTATATGAAGTGTAAGATTTTTAAAAACCATTGTTCATTGTTGATTTTAAGAAGTCTTTATGAAAAAATTTGTTTGTTTTTCAGAAAGAGTATAAACTAATTTAACCATTTTTGATTTCAAATTTTACAAATATTTTAAAATGAACTCTATTGTAGGGAAAACATTTCGGATAGATTCTGGAAATGATCTACCGCGAACGCACCTAGTAGAAGTAAGAAGTCAAGATCAAACAGAATACAATTCGGATGATGAGCAATATAAAAGCAATAAATTTGACATGAGAAATATTGATTCCATTTTTTCTAATTGCGATGATAGTAATAATAGACAACAGGATTATGATTATCAAAATGAAAAAAGCACAAAAGTTGAACATTCAGAGACTAAGAAGACAAGTGGTGGCTACGAAATTGGTCTGGAAAATAGTGATATGTATTTGCCGAAATCAAATATTGATGCTATCAATAGAATGTCTTCACATGATATTATACAAGATGATAGTTTTGATTGTAATCCAAAATGCGCTACAGAAACTCATCATACTGAGAATTCAGACAGCTATTATGACTCGATATCAGGACATGCATGTATGTTTTTTGTAAATTCTTTTTTTAAAATTTAAATTATTAATATAATTACAAATTAGCTTCTTCATAAACATTAACAATCAGCGCATTATTACAATTCGATTATTTGCTAAAATTGTGTACTCATGCGTCCTATTTGAAATATTTTCTATTTGCATGTATTTATTTGTTATTGGCTAATTGGATCGTTATTGTAATATAGTTCTTATTTATATCTTTAGCGAGGCTGCAAGAATATGTGCCAAGTAAATTGAATATTCCGACTGATAACGAACGAGATTCCTTAGCCTCTTTGAAAACAGCCTCAAATAAATCAGATTTCTTGAAAAATGACGATGCAAGTTACAGTGAAATAGACGATATAATGACTATAAAGCATAACGTAGCACCATTCTACTGCAATATCAGGAAGCCCTACGTGCAGGATAAAGGACGATTTTCTAGGTAGGAGAGTTTTTGGACCAAAATTTAATAAACTTAATTTATTAATTACTAAACATATTTTATTTACAAATATTAAAATTCCTCTATAATCTCATTTTAGGCCATCTCATTATAATACAGCTAGCACATCATCACGAGGTCATTTATCTTCCAGTACATTGAAACTGCATCCCACCAGAATTATTCCGCAATATAATATTACAAATGATAATAGTAGTTTCAACTCGCCTAAGGTTAACAAAGATATGAGAAGTCCGCAACTGAATATAAAACAGAATAAATCGTTTATTTGTCGAAATCAATATAAAAACAGCGAAACACCCCGTACTTCGAAAACCGGATTGAATTTACAGCACAACAAGTCCCTAAATGATTCCATTTATACAAAACAATTAAAACCTAGAAAAGATGAACTAGATGATATTGACGTTATAGATACTTTTGCAAATGAAAGCG